TGACCATTTCCCCAGTAAAACTGAAGTTGCTTCTATTCGATACAATAAGCTCGGGAAGCAAAATAAAAAACTATCTGCATAGTATGAGGTCAGTCAGGCTATGGATGGTTATTTTACATCTGAATATTAAAAACATATGCTTCTCTGTAGAGGTTTTTAGAAAACCTGAAGCTGCTGGTGCTCAGCCTTTCCCAAGGAACGCTGAACACCTTCAAACCCCAGCAACCACAGGACTTGTGCCATTTCAGAAGGGGGTCAAAGCGTGCAGGAGTGTAACTCTATATGATGAAGACATATAATGTTTAGACAAGATGATGAACATTTTTTAGAATTTCAAATTTAATCTTTAATCATGTCTTGTTTACAAACTAATCCTAACAATGAGGTAAGATATCCACAAACCCATGGGTTTTTGTCCCATAACTCATACATATTCCATGCATAATGCTAATTAGTTTGTATTATAGGAAAAATGTTCTTAATAAACAGAAACGTTAAACGACTTCAGGGTTCCTTTTTCATTATGCAATAGCCATGTAAAATAATCTTTAGGAGAAGCATTTTACTATACATCTACCAACTGGGCTGTCTGCACCAGAGGTGATGGACTCGTGGCTGAACACTGCCCTAGGAGAGACGAATCGCATCCCTGCTGCGCTATAGTTTCTGACACTGTTTTCAGCAGGTCTCTGCATCACCAAGAATACTTTCACTCACTTCCTTTGATTTTACAAGAGTACTTCGTTATGTGTGTATAGAGCAACAGCTAGCACAGAGCTCCAGTCTCAAGTGGAGTCTTTAAATTGCGTTTTGATGGAAGCGTGTCAGGTTAACAAAAATTGTATACCAGGCAAGTCACAGGCTTTGACCACCAAACTGGCACCAAATGAAAGGCTGAGCTGAGTCCACCTCAGATGCTTGTGTGCCACCCACCATGACCAGAGGTGACACAGCAACCTTTATTTTGCAAAGCTATTAAAAAAAAAAAATTTTAGTTGGTTTTAGAAATTTTACTTTGACAAGAAATTAAAAATGTTACATAATCATTTATTTAAAGCATCTCATTTTAAGTAAATGATCTGTTGTAATGATATTTTGGTTAAGAACGTCCTGGATATTCACTCTGCCTACAGCATTCTGTAAACAGTGGTCTGCTTCTGCAGCTTATCCATTTATGAAAATATTTATGCTCTGACATAAATTTTAAAGGAGCCGGAAGCAAAAGAATCCAACTTCCATGATGTATACCAAATGGAGAGCAACATGGTAAAAACACCAAACGCTACAAATTTTGCAAGCTACCAGTATTTACCACACATCACACAGTACTATATTCTCATGCAAGCATGCCACAATGAGAAAACAACATCTCTATAAGGGTAAAACAAACAGCATTCAGAGTTTCTGAAAGCATTCTTCCAAAATTATTGCACTAGATTAGATTGCCTCATCAACAGGGCCAGAGGCCATTTACACTATTTTCTTTCCTTTTTTTTTTTTCTATGTAACAGATGAAAGGATTACAGAAAGTTTTCTGGGGCCAAATTTGGAATTAATGATGGGAAAATTCTTTTGCTAATCCCCCATCTCTCCCACTGCTAGTAGGCTCCTGTGGCTGGAAAAAAAGGTCTCCTGGTACCCTGCTTCTACTTTGCTTGTCAGTGCTCAGGATGTTTGAGAAGAACCCCTGGCTTTGAGCAGAGCCATAAAATCTGAAGGACAGAGCTATACTGAAAATCTGAGTAAAGAACGACATGAGACTCCAGTTAAAACTTGGACACATCACAACAAAATCAAAGGATGGGACTCATCTGCTCAGGACAGATGTCTGCCAAGCAGCCACCTCCATCGAAGCCCAAGCTCGCTTTACAATCGGTGGGGAAAAATCGGCTTTTCTGGGACACGCTGTGCCCTGCCCCGAGGTGGAGGTGTCAGGCAGGCTGGAAGGATCATGCCCGAGCAACCCCAGCTGGTGTCTGCTGCCTACGGAGGAAGCTCAGAGAGGCCGGCCGGAGACGGGTGCTGCAGGGACGCGGAGCTAAGCGAGGCTGGCGTCACCCAGCCTGCCCGAGGAGAAGGGCCGGCTCTTCTGGAGAGCAGAGCAGCCACCGCAGCCGGGTCCGTTTGCAGGATGCCCTCTTACAAACCTCAAACATTACTCCTCGGCACTGCCTGTCAGCCCACCAGTGAAGTAAAAATAGATACTGCCAAGTAACTACCCTTCTAAAAGCAAAGTTTAATCATTTTTCAGTCATTTAACAAACACAAAAGAATTTACACATACCAACTCTACTAGAGAAGTAAACTTTGCATAATTAATTGGGATGTCTCCAATACTTGTGCATCTGCAAATGCACAGCTACACCAACTGGCACTCAAGGGAAAATGCCTCGGGCCACCTCCAAGAGCTGGGAAGTGCAAATATCTCAACTGAACAGAGAGCCTGAGCTGCTAGGGAAGGAAAAAAGCAGGCCTGAATAACAAGTTGTCTGGAAAATAAGCAGCGTCACCCAGCTCCCTAAAGTCTGTTTTATTAACTATCAGACATTATCAGCTACTTCTGAATTGAGCCATGTTTTATTGTAATGCCAGAACAAGCTAAAGGCACCTAATTAGTTGCAGAAGGTGGGAACGTCCAAAGCAGGTCAGGGAAGCAGAAGTCAAACTTCCCACAGAGACGAGCAATTTGATGGAAAATTTTACTCGAATAAAAAGAAATATTGATGCAGCACTTAATGAAGATGAACTTCCCCTGCCTCCCCACAATACAGACGATGCCATTATCACTCAGCTCTAGGAAGGAAAGAGATTCCAAGTCAGGGGAAATTACAGGGCAGTTATCCTCATCAACCTGACCGTGTAACAGTGACACGAGATTGGCAGAGCGCCTGAGAAAAGTCTGTAGATGGTTAAACACAGGGCATGAAATAAGATGTGCAAAGGGAAAGCAGCCCCTGGAAAATATTGCTATGGATTTCAGCTTTTTGTTGCCACTGGCACACTGGAAACACCCGACCATATCCCCCCGTACCCACAAAAAAAATATCTCCCTGTATCCACAACAAAAAAAAAGGGATTGTATAAAGTTAGAGAAAATGTGGGAGTGTCACTTGCTCAGTAGTTATGAAGCCAACTGCTGAGTGATCCGGTCACCTCTCTGTAAGAGTCAGACTATTTCCCACCTTTTTCAGGCTGCTTCAAGATCTACAAATGACACACTCTACATGGCTGGCAGGTTTTATTCTTGTGATTGTAGGACAGCGAGATGCAGAGGCAACTCGGTGTTTTCTCTTCCCCCAGGATCTGTCCTGTAGTCAGCAACAGGCAATCCTCACCACTTTTTACTCTGAGCACTCGGGAAAGTTTCCATCTTTTGAGAAAAGAGTTGCCTGTAGCTCAAAAAGAGAGCTCATATGAAAGCGTTAAGAATTTTGCTCTAGGCTTTGTAACTATCTGCAAGACAAGCAAGTCAAACAAAACTGGCATTATTTGCGTTATTTGTAAAAAGGAGGGTTAAACACATTCCCAATTTCACAGATGTTTCAAGGCTTCATTGCTAGAAAAAGTCTGGCACGGTCATGCAGAAATGCGATGGTACAACACACATTACCTTCAGGGTCCCAAAAACATAAGGATTTGGGGAACCTTGCCCTACCCCCAACAGGGGGAAATGGGACACAGATCATGTATTTCCCTGATCAGAAACCAAGGTTTCACAGAGAATTAGTAAACAGGCTCATGCTTCCCACCTGTTTTCTATTTAGAGCAAAAAAGCAATTAATATGACTTTTTAAACAACAGTTAATAGAAGAAAGTTAGGAAACTGAGATTTCTAATTGAAAATGTCTTTACTCACATGAGGCAGAGGATCAAAATATGACAAGACCACTAAGCATAGTTTCTCCCATCTGCGCAAACCATTTCTTAACAATCTTAAGATTAATAAACAAAGACACACTCTAGACATTTCATATCCCTCCTGGATTTAGCCACGTATGCAAGGCAAACATGAGAAAGCTGTCCTCTCACTTCACTCCCAGTTGGAACGGAGCTCCCAAGTAGTACTTCATGTTACGTGATTGTTAATACGGGAACCCCCTCGCTCTGAGCAGACATGCAGAGAAATACAAGGGAAAAAAAAAAATACAGGTCCAGGAAGGTCCGATTTAAGCGTATCATTTATTAGCAAGTAAAAGGACATTTACCTTCTCAGTGGTTAAGTACAACACAACCCAAGGATAAACCATATGGCTCAAGTCTTTGTGCAAGGGAGAGAGCTGGCAGGGTTCCATGGGCTCTAATTGAACTATTACCATATTGTAAAGAAATGAAAAAGTCAGAAAGACTGGAGGATCTGCTCTCCTAGGGACAGTTTATGTCATGCGAACAATTAAGTGAGTAACAAAGCATATTTAACAGCAGAGCAATTCCACCATTTGGATACTGGCTCATTTTAAGGAAAATAGGTACTCTTCTAGTTCAATATCGCACTTAATTTGATCCTACATACAATGCCATGAAACCTTCAAAATCCAAATCATTTATAGCAAACAATACAACGCTTCTCCTTTAATCGCTGGCTCAAGACTTTTCCATCTAGTTAATAAGGAAAGATGCAGAATAAGAATGCTCAAGTGAAACCCAGCAACACATAAAAGCCTGCCATAAAACTGAAAAATGCAAAAGATCAAGTACAAAATTAATTAATTACTATGTACAAATAATCAACAATCTTTTCTTTCAAAAGGCAGGCCTGATAAAAGTATACCAAGTGTTACACATTGTATATGCACAACAGGGTACATAATGAAACACAACAAAACAACCAGGTCATGAACAGATCCAATCTGTAGTGATTATGTAGTTCATACATAAACCATTACAGAATTGTCTATTCTGTGGGCAAAAATCAGTGCAGTTGTATGAGGAGTAAAAAAAAAAAAAGCACAACCTTACATAAGAAATGAGGCAAAACAAGTCTCTATGAATCTTGTTCTTACCATTCTGTTCATCCAACTCATTCCCAATTTCCTGCCCCATTTGCTTTTGCCGGGATATGATTGAAGAAAGAGCATCGAGTCCAGCATCTTGCTCTGCACCAGAAAAATACATAAAATTACACGAAAATAATTGCTGATATGCCAGGCTATATACCATAAAAGATGCAGAAGTGAAGGAAAAGATCTACTCTGTGCTTGAAGAGTTAAAATGTATCAAGAAAAATACATCAACACAACATGAAAATGAATCCTTATGGCAACAGCACTCTTAAAATAATGTGAATGATGAGTAATTAATTTGTCTGCTCTGGGTGGGACATTTAGCTTAGGGTCCCAAAAAAAAAAAAATCCAAGAATTCAACATTCAGCTGTTACTCAGTCATAAATACAGGATATTTTCTGGCACACACACAGAGATCCCTGATTAGCCTTTTTTAATTTTCCAAGAAACTTTTAACATGAATAAAATACAAACAGGTGATGCAAACACCAAAGAATTCAAAGAGATTTTTAAAGCTGCAAGAGAATACAGAGTACATGGAAGAGAGCCTGAGCCAGAGGGGACATAATGGGGGCAGCTAAAGTTTGACATGCTCCCATCAGTTCTGCAGAGACTCCTTTATTAAGATCCGGACCACCTCTGCTATTCCAGTTTGCAGGTACCACGCAGTCCTTAGTAAGCATCTTAACCAAAACGTGCGGCTCTCCTTGCCCAAAAGTCGTCAAGGAGCAGAAGAGATGCTGGAGGCGGGACTGTCAGGGGTCTGACGAACTGCAAAGCAGCCACATTGCACAGAGCAGGACTGCCTGCCCGCTGCAGTCTGGGAGCCAGAAGTTGTACAGGATGGCCAGAACCCCCTTCCCTTCGACAGGATGGGGGTCTGGCCCCCAATACCTCTTTCAGCCTCCCCAAGGATACTATGGTGTCATCAAAAACTGGGGCTTGAGGTTCCGCCTGGACCATCCAAACAGAGTTCATGCCGTTCTCCTGAACTGCAGCTATAAACCTTGTTTCACATGCAGGCTGAAGCAGGCCTTATCTGAAGACTGACTTAATTTGATCACTTCCAATACTTTAATTGCATAGCAATTACCTTATTAAATACCTGATGTCCTCAGGCTGAATTTTTCCAACACTTCCAAAGTTAGAGATTCCTTACGGATGCTGAGGGCCAAAACCTAAAGGCCCTTTCTAGATTAGTTAGTTCTTACCTCATTCCAATTCAACGATACATCTGCTGCACCCCAGCCTGCCGCACAGTAATACCACTCCACCCAGTGCAATTAATGAGATCACCACCACAAACCAAAACCATGAATATGGTCAAAAATCAGGGATGCCCTGTGAGGTCTTTGAAAATTTGATTTAAGGCTATCCTTCTAGTTAAGAATATTGCAAGAACAATACTGCTGCTGTATATACATAAAATAACCACCTGGAACTATTATGATTGACATCTCTGGATAATAAAGCTTCAGCACAGGTTAATGTATTGACTTTCTAGTAAGGGCTTCTCTCAGAGTCATGGAATCACAGAATCATTAAGGTGGAAATCATTGGAAAGGACCTTTAAGATCATCAAGTCCAACCATCAACCCAACACCACCATGCCCACTAAACCATGTCCCAGTGTGCCACGTCTACATGTTTTTTGAACACTTCCAGTGACAGTGACTCCACCACCTCCCTGGGCAGCCTGTGCCAATGCTTGACCACTTTCTCCATAAAGAAATTTTTCCTAATACCCAGCCTAAACCTCCCCTGGTGCAACTTGAGGCCATTTCCTCTTGTCCTGTCGCTGGTTACTTGGGAGAAGAGAACAACCCCCACCTCACCACAACTCCCTTTCAGGTAGTTCCAGAGAGCAATAAGGTCTCCCCTCACCCCATTCCCCTCAGCCGCTCCTCATCAGACTTGTGCTCCAGACCCTTCCCCAGCTCCGTTGCCCTTCTCTGGACACGCTCCAGCACCTCAACGTCCTTCTTGTAGTGAGAGGCCCAAAACTGAACACAGGATTCGAGGTGCGGCCTCACCAGTGCCGAGTACAGGGGTACAATCACTTTCCTACTCCTGCTGGCCAAATCATTGCTGATGCTGTTGGCCAGGACGCTGTTGGCCTTCTTGGCCACCTGGGCACACTGCCTGCTCATGTTCCCCCGGCTGTCGACCAGCACCCCCAGGTCCTTTTCCCCAGCAGCTCTCCAGCCACTCCTGCCCAAGCCTGTAGCGTTGCATGGGGTTGTTGTGGCCAAAGTGCAGGACCCGGCACTTGGCCTTATTAAACCTCATACAGTTGACCTCAGCCCATCGATCCAGCCTGTCCAGATCCCTCTGCAGAGCCCTCCTGCCCTCCAGCAGATCAACACTCCCACCCAGCTCGGTGTCATCTGCAAACTTACTGAGGGAGCACTCGATCCCCTCATCCAGATCATCTATAAAGATATTGAACAAGACCAGCCCCAGAACCGAGCCCTGGGGAACACCGCTTGTGACCGGCCGCCAGCTGGATTTAACGCCGTTCACCACAACTCTCTGGGCTCAGCCATCCAGCCAGTTCCTCACCCAGCAAAGAGTAAACCTGTCTAAACCACGAGCTGTCAGTTTCTCCAAGAGAATGCTGTGGGAGACGCTGTCAAAGGCTTTACTAAAGTCCAGAGTCCTAATGATGCTTATAAAAAACAGAAAGACTCTTGTACCTTCTATGATCCTTCGCTGCTGCTGCCTGAGATCATCAAAGCCAAGCCCTCTGGTTTCCTCAGATTCTTCCAAGAGCCATGGGTTGGTTACACCTCGTTTGACCCCTCCCGTCATTAGGCTAGATCTGAAAATAAATCCAGTAAATAATTTTCAACACAAAACCCACTCATCCTATGATCTGTGCTCACAAAACTAGCTGACAGAGATGGAAGTGTACGTATTTGTTGCACTGCACATCGTTCTCTGCAATCATAAAAGAAATTAGCCAAAAAGAATACGACGATCTGCAATAACAAATACATCTCGCAGGCTCTGTAACACTGCCTAGAAGTGGTAAAGGAGGGAGAGAATTAATTTTGCAGTGAACAATTAAGCTACATGGTGAAATGTACCTCATACATCATATAATATATTCATATTAAACACTGTTTGCTTGTAGAACACACAGCATTCAGAACTGCTACAAAAAGAACAGGGTTACTGAGAATACACGTTATTCATGTATTTGCTATGTGATCAAAACACAAACTTATAAAAACACTGAGGTACAGCCTGAAAGCTTCCAACAGCAAAAGGATCAACACATTAATAGAGATGCAAATCAGACGAGACTGCTAATTTTCTGCAATCGTGACCAAACCTAAAAGAGAACACTTCTGCATTTCAAAAACTGTAGATGGAAGTCACACAGTTACTCTCCTGCATTTCCTACTCTGGCATCAATGTGAACAAGAAGCCAGGCACACACGCTCTTAAATGAGAGAGTAATCAAGTTACAGGTTTTTCTTTTAAAAGAATTATGACTTGAGGTTGTTCACATTACAGACACTTCCCTGGTTACAACGGAAAACAAGTTTTTCATGTCCAGGGCACATAAATTCAAGTAGTAAAATGAAGTGCCACTTAAATATTTTTCTCAATACCAGATTTCTGGTTTCCGCCTTTCAGCTTTTCATTGGTTTCTCCTACAAGAAAAACATTGTATGACAGACTGTGAGCCACTTGAACCCAAAACTGCAACTCAGATTTGGGGTAAGAGTCATTGTAAGATCAATTCAACAGCCGTACAGAAGTAAGAGGTTTTGCTTTCTGCTTTGCTTTTTTTAAACGCCGTATTTTATTCTCATTTTACCCTTGCCTTGTTCTTTCTCAAAGCACTTCCACAAACAAAACAAGAACAGTGAGCATTTTTAGGATCTCTCAAAGTCTCAAATTACACTAAAACCTAATTTCTTTTAGGTTTTTTTTTGTTTGGTTGTTTTGTTTTTTTGAGTCCAGGTCACTCCTTTGCAAGATATACTGAAATGCTGTATGGTACACACACAAGCTCAAAATCATTTTGTGGTCAAAACCCTTTGATAAAGAACTTGACCCTGCACCAGCATCAGTAGAGCTAGGAGGAATTAATGCACCCCACCGATACAGGGTTCAGCCCCGCAGAGGGATGACTGAAGTCTCACCAGCCCTTGGGTATTCAAGCAAAATGCAGAACTGGTGTCTAGGGGTGCCTTGAGGAATTGTGGTGAACTAGAGACATCTCCTGGCCGTGAGATGAATCAACACTGCTGAAAAATAAATTCATCACCATGTGAGTTTTGGGCCATCCATAAATTACAGGTACATACGCTCTCCTCTGCGTGCAGCACAGCACACACTTCATATTGCATTCACAGCCAGTAAAATTCAGGAACACTTAACCTCTTCTCACTTAAAACTTTAACATGTTCATTCAACTTCATCTCAAGGTAATGGATTTGTCAGAATCAAAAAAGAAATTTTTTTTTGCTACAGGACTAAGCAGCACATATTGTAAACCACATCATCTCACTTCACCGTCCTGATGGTGGTGGAACATCACGCTCCAGGGCAGAACTCAGACCGCCTGTGCCAACAGCCAGCGGGCCATCGGGGCAACATCTGAAAGAGGAGCTGGGATTCTTCTGTATTCCAGCCCTTTGCACCTCCATTACAACCTGCACGTACTTATCGAGGTAGGGCATCAGGCTTGATTAGACAGAAATACACACACCTGAAATGTAGTTTTACACATTACCTAGCTTTCTTCACTGCTTCGGGGGATTAAACACACTCTCGTGTTTTCTAGCCTCACGACTGCTAGCACGTTCACAAACACAACGGAAGCATTACGCTTCTGAAGATGCAAAGATCACCACAGCTCACCCAGTTCAGCAGCCCAATTAGCAAGCGCACAAAATCTAGGGTTAACAACACCTGACAAAATTACTTAAATAAAGCAAATGGAAGATAAAGCTCTTTGCTTGCTAAAAAGAGCACAACTATTTCTGCCTGTTAAAAATAAAAGCCAAGGCAAGCAAATTTGAAATAATTCGCACCACTCAGTCTCTCCCTCCCCCCCAATAATCTGCCCTATTCTTGTATGTTGGGTCATGACAACTGGTCTGCTCGTTACAATAATCTTTTTGACATGTTTGGTAACTACCTTCCCACACAACACAGCATAACTTCCTACTTCCTCTGATCTTACCATGTTTCGCTTTGGTGGTGTGAAGATTAAAGCTTATCCAATTAGCCACCCACTGCCTCCGCCAAGTTAATCACGTAAATCTTTGAAACCGTCACAGAGCAGTGGAGTGTGCAGATAGCTTTTGATTATAGGAGCAGATTTAACTAATTACGAGGCTCAGCAATGCGTCCAAGTATAAAAGATGATGGGGTTTAAAATCAGGGAGCTATGTCACTGCTTAACAAGGGAGGGCTTATCTTCCAGAAGGCATTGTTTCACTGATAATTCTTACAAAACTTCCCAAGTAACTTAGATTAGTCAACCAGCACTTACTTTAGACCAAGGCCACACATCAAGGCTTAGAAGACTGATCAGCAAGACTGAATTTTAAACAAAACCTGGGTCATATGACAATTGGGTGCATGATCACTTGAACATTCCCTTAACGATACAGTTATACAGTGGGGCTCTTTGAAGTACCCAGGGCACCTTTCCTTGGCTTCACAGGTCAGTCTCAGAGGAGATGGTGAAGAAGCTGGGGTATTCTCTCACTTACGATTTAATTGCTCACACTGGTAGGCAATGTATTTTTAGGAAGCTCCAAGCTAGTAAATAAAGCAAGTATAACTTTAACATACAGAACAACAGCTCTCTCTCCCTCGAAAAAAACCTGGGAGAAGCCACATGAGCACAAGAACTTCCAAGTCCCCTCCAGGTACCTTCCCAGGTGGAGACTTCCCCACAAGAACCGCTCCGATGGGAAGCCCACAGAAGGGGCGGCATTCCCTGCAGCTGGCAGAGGACTTCCCCGGCTCCACCAGCACAAGCACCAAGAGCGGCCTAGCTCACGTTCAAGGAAATGTGTTGTTCTTTACACCATTTACCTGCAGTTCAGTTAACTGGTCCCACTGGTTTCAACGAGCAGAAGCTGCACAAGCCAGCTGCCACCCGGGATGCCGGACAGCTGATTTGCAGAACACAGCTACTTTGCGGCACCTCTGGACCACTAACTCCTGCTCGCAGCATAGGCACGGCACCTTCCGCACTCGCGCCGCAGGGGAAGCGGCTCCCAACCACCTCGTGCTCGTACAGGACAGCAGGTGCCCGCGGAGGAGCGGCACAGGGCAAGCAGCACGCTGGAAGCCTGTTTGCACAGAGGTACAGGCACACTTACCCTGGAATAACACGTCCACTCGAAATGCTGAGCGTCTGGGTGGTGGGGTTGTGACAAGAGAGGATACCCCTACACCAGGGTAAGTGTTATAAAGGTAACCTTCCCTGGGGACAACATTTACACTCACATTTTATTTCACAGCAGTCTCACCTTCCTATACAAACCCTCAAAATATACACCGCAATAAACGTTTCCATCAGAGAGTAATCTGGCTATCAAATATTACCATCTTCTTTCTACATCATCCCTTACTTTCTATGCAAGATTGGACATAGCACAATACTAAATATATTATAAAACTTATATAGCCCCCATCGAAACAGTCTCACCTCTACAGCCCACTTGCACTCCTCGGAAATAAGGCAATTATAAGAAATGAGAGTTCCTTCTAGAAAGAAGCTGCATCTGGTATAATTACATGCAGAGAAAAGATGAAGGGACAAATCTGCTCCTGTGAGACTGTTTGTCCTGTTTCACAAAACGATCAACAGCTCCATCACCCGCAACTCGCATCTCTGTGCCTGAGGCGAGGGACTCCCCCCTCGGTGCCATTCGGAGGGCTACTTTCGGGCGACAACGCAGCACTGAGCTCGTGCCTGAACCTCTGCTCTCTGTGTGGCGGCTGAAGTTCGCCTGACCACAAGCAACAGGAACGCGAGCCTCCAAGCAGGTCTCAGCTTGGCATTTGTTCTCACTACAGACGCTGCACGCCCACGCCAGAATAACAACGACACTGCTGATACAGAAACAACCTTGTACAGGAAACTTCGGGTAGTTTTGAGCAAACTTAAGAGGCACAATAAAAAGCACGGAGCTCAGCCTTGAAAGCTGCCCTCCTACTGACATTCTTCCTGAGGCTAATGAGCAATAACCTTTAATAACAGGCATGCAGGCACAACCTGAAGCACAATGCCTAAAATGACAGGGTTTGACTTACTTTTCTCTGTCGTGTTTAGATACCCGTTCTTCTCTATTCCTTATAAATGCAAGGATACGCAGTTGTCTCATAACCACAGTCTTGACTTCAGCGAGGTCCTTAAGGAAACTCTGGTATGCTCTGAAGGAGGAGAAATGTCCCTTGAACGCAGGACAAACTGAGGAAACTTCACTACCTTACTGGAACAGTCCTTAAATTTGGGGTGGGCACAACAACCTTTGGGTTTTAACAGGCGCTGTACCTGCTGCTTGCGTGAGGACGCACTGACGCCTGCACACGCTGTAACCTACAGAGTGCTTCCAGGTGACAGCTGGTACAATGGGAAGTGACCCAAGTGCAGAGACACAGTTTAGTGGATGAGGAGGGTGTTGAGACAATTACAACTACATTGGCTCGTGACTGCACAGCTAAAGACACGTTAATACTGGAAGATCCCAGATCCTAGATTTGATCTTATGACTCAAGTCTCAGACATGGCATAGGTTTCTGGATGGACAATTCACCTCTTCTTCCACCCTTCCATCAATCTCCTAGACACAAGGCTAAGCGCATCCAACATCAGACCATCATAGCTGCAGCCAGGAGGGCTTCCAACAGTAACTGCTAGGGAGGAAGGAAAGCAAGAAGGAGTTTTAAAGGCACCTAAACAACTATTTTTAATCTTGTTTTCCAAAGAGCATTTGCTCCTCCATAAAAAACAGCCAGACTCACAAAAGCATTTAAGCACCTAATGGCTTATTCATTAAAGTCGGGCACTTGATGCCTATCTGGCATTAGGCAAAATGGCTGTTTGGAATAAGACCTAAATGCCCTACATCTGACAAAAAAATATTTAAGCAGAAAAAATGGTAACCCACATTAAAAGAAAAAAAAAAATGGACTCTTCTACAAGTTAGCTAGGGTAGCTATTACTTAAGCTGTTTTGTGTCCCACAGCTATCAAAAGTCTTCTCTATTTTTGAGAAATTCAAAGAGAAACCAAGAAAGGCATGTTAAAGTACACACGATTTATTTATTCACTGGTGATCGATGTATACTTCTATGTACTGAGTATCTGGTCAGACAGGAGGAATATTCTTGATTCCTTTGCCTCCACAAATGTTTAAAGATTCACAAAATTCTGATATTGTGATTTATAGAGAGTCAATGTTTCTAGTTGGTTTTTTCACTTCTCACTTTCAAATAGTGTGAAACCATGGGGATTTCTACTTCATTAAAGTCTCTGTTAGAATAACCTGCACAGATCTCTTCCCAAGGAAAAAAGAGGGGAGAAGATACTGCAATTGCCTATTGAAAAACCAATTAAAGAAAATTTAACTGACTCTGCTCAAGCAGAGTCACATAAAACAGCGCAACCTTTCCCCTGGAAAATGCCAGTTGCATCTTAATTAAGGCCGACAACGCCGGAAAGTAAACTAATGCTATACCAAAGTAATGTAGTGTCCTGCCCTGTGTTCTGGCCCAAGTTGTCAGTTAGGATAAATACTAAGAGCATTAAGGCCACTGTACTTCACAATCAGAAATAGCTTTACAGCAGTTTTCAAAGGATGTAAAACTCACTGAATGGTGACCAAATATAAACGAAGATTAATTCTAGTAAAACCTTCACAGTTATAGGCCATGGGGACAATAAATATGTGATCAGTGGTGCAAGAAGGTTAATGAAAGGAATGACTGCTGGAAAGAAAAAGACTTCTGAAAATGTGTGCTGTCACATCAGAGATGGATTAGATACAGAAAAGCAATACAAAACCAGAGAAAAGTGTCAGTGCTAGAACTTAAACATGTGCTGATTTTTCTAATGCAGTGGGAAAAACTGACTTTCAGACTTCAGACGCACTGAAGGCGGCCTTTGTCACCTACTGAAATCCAAAGCAGGCTGTTCCAGAAGTCTGCAACAATTTCAGAGAAACCCGGTGCTGTAAACAGCAGCTTAACCCTACCAGAAGCTGTCGTCCTCTGTCCCTACAAGCAGCATGGCGGGCAGGGGAAAAGCTCCTTCCCGACCGACCTACGCGCGGGCCAGGCCCAGGCAATAGACAAAGGTTTGACTTACTGGCACAAGATTCAGGCCCCGGCTACGTCTCTGCCCACACCACTGAAAACAAGACCTACAAGGGAGAGTATGGAAGGGGTGTGAATTCACCAGGCAGAGAATAGCTGGCATAGTTTTATCCATTTTTAATTTAAGAAGTTGAAAGAGAACTATAAAACTTCAGGCCTTGCAACACTAGCAAATAAATACTGTCTCTGATGTTATCTTGTGCTGGAAAATACTGGTTTCCCTGATCATTTCTAATGGAGCTTGAAATTATCATGAGGTTTTGATATTTTCCTCCCGTCTGCCTCGACACCTTCACACCACGCAGCTCTAGGTTGAATCCTTGCCCTCCGTCAGCTCCGCAGCAGTAACGTGCCAACGCTGCCCTGCCGCAGCAGGGACGGCCACGCTTCGGAAGGTCAGATCAGTTTATGGACTGCTCAGAGCAGGAGACACACAAGAGCTTTCTCACATCATCGGTCCCGTAGACATTTTGCCTACTCACTATTTGAGCTGTTTCAGTTGACTCAGCGATAGACGTAACAGAGCCAGCACCAATGCACCAACTGGATTTGCACTGCGCTCCGGAGAATGCCAAACCTAGAACAATTAATGGATTCGATCAAAGTCTAGTTTTACCACCTGCAGCAGGTGTTGCGCCGACAACGACTGGTGACGCAAGATGACAAACCACAAAGTGAAACACGCGCTTTGGCTGTCCCAAACGCTGCACTGGAGAACAAAAGCAAGCAGAAGCCAACCTCTACACCGTGTTACTGAACAGACCCTCACAAAACACAGATACACACATGAATACAGAAAACTATCAGTTAAACTTTGAGTATCTCTCACACCTGCTCCAAGATACACAAGCAAACAAGCTCGAAAAAAAACACCTTATTTTCAACAGTTATGGTGGGACACAACGCTCACATTGGTATGCCATTTTCTACCGTACAATAGCTTCAAAACCATCTCTGCTTTTTTCAAGAGCACAGCACTGAAAAGGGACTGGTTCTTAAAGAACATCAGCAAACAGGCTCACGTATTTCTTCGTAAGTGTGGGGAGTTAAAAGTATATAAAGTTTTGTTCTAAGACTGAGCGCTAACATATGGCAAAAAGGTGAGAAACTTTCTCAGGAGGGCTCTAACACTCTCCCTCCCACAAGTAACCTTACATGTGCATGTATAAATGCAACGCTGTGTGTTTGCTGCGGTAAAGGTCCAGTGAATACAGTGCATTATACAACCCCTGCCACTTAGAAACACAAGCTAAAAATTTCTTTTTTTTTAAATATGTATTTCTATTGCACGTCAACATTGGAGAAGTACCATTGCTCTCTTCAGAGGCAGATCTCACTACACCACGGGTCAGCAGAGGTGAGGAAGTTCTGCTCAGCCACATCGTATGACCCGGACCACACATGCAGCACTGTGCAGGGTTTACAGGGCAGATCACAGCCCCTTGCATGACCCACAGCCAGCCTAAGAAGTCAGTGCCTGCTGCACTAAACCTTCCCACACATCAACAAAATAGGTGCCCAGGCCCAATGGCTGCGATTCATAAAAAAATACGGAGGACGTATGTTCACTTTTTTAAAAATACGAGGCCTTAAAACAAAGTTGTAACGATTACAGTCTACGCTTTCGAGTAATTTTGCTGACCATGGAAATACAGCAAGCTCTGCAAACCCAGAGACTGCAGTTCTGCTTCTCTTCTGCACCATTTGGAAGGACAGTAGATTACCTGAATCTGCAAAGGGAAAATTAGGAAAAGAAAATGCAATTACCTGTGCTGGAATTTAGCCAAAATGGTAACTCTCACACAGAGCAGTATTTAGTGACCTGCATGGGGTCAGGAAACAGGTAAATCATGCTCTTTGATAGCAGGGCTTTTCATTCTTTGCATGACTGTCGGCTCAGGGCTAATAGACATCAAAGCATATCGCTCAGTGAATCACGAGGATGCTTCTGAAGCTGTCTCTCAACACACGCCACTTCAATTCTGACATACCACGGCCCTGATCCTGTGTTAAGGGGGTAGATCTAGTACCCATTTGCTTGCAGAAGAAGGAGGAAATGGCAGCTTCATTTTGTCATCTGTAGCCTGGCTACCAGCTTAGCAACAAGGCTTATTTATTGCTACCCCTTTTCTCCTCTCTCTCCTCCAGCAATTAATTCATTGGGCAGTTTAAACATTGAAAGAAGGAGTCTCAAAGAAAAAAAATTCACTTTTACAACACAGATGAAGAGGCCGAAGAGACAGAGCCTCGTTAGCAGAGCCTTTAGACCATGTGTAGCACATGTCGAGCTCCAGGCTGAACCCAGGATACTCTCTCTCAACTGGCGGGATGCCACTGGAAACACAGGGGAAAGAGGAAGAACAAGGAGAAAAGGGAGGGTGGTGGGTTATGCTATTTGAATTGGGAAAGGAAAGAGCAGTGTAACAAATTCACAGGAGTCTCTCAATCCTGCTGCTCAACAAGCATTTTTAACTTGGTATTTCAGTAAGACGTCAAAGCTGCTGGACGTAAAGGACCTGCAGCAGCCCCTCAGCAAGACACACGCATGCTCATGCAGAAACTGAAGCTACCAAAAGTTCTGAAGTACAGCCAAGGGAAGTAAATACTCATGAGTGGAATTCCATAGGCAAAAGGTGATGCTGACCTAACTGGAAATGGATAAAATTCAAAAGGCCATTAACAAAGCACTAGAAACAAGCCATCCTTCCTTATTCCACTGCAGGACTGCAACATCAGCAGTAAAAAGTGTCTTTTTATGTAATTATATACCAAGCCTATGCCTAACATGGATGGTGTTATGGACACAGCTCCTGTGTGTCTCCCATCTAACCCAACTGACAATAATTTAGTAACTCAGACAAGAGGCCTGAATTTCACAGTTCAAGAAAAGGCTCTGCCTTTCTTCCTGATCAGAGACCACCAGGGATGGATTGTTTCCAAGAACCTGTTAGAGATGACAAATACAACTCCTTCCACCAGAAAGGGGCTATATAAGAACTGCAGAAGGAGAGCACAACTTGAAGGCTATTAACCATCATTATTTTTCACAGCTGTGAAGGACACCCCAAAATGGAAATTAAAATGACTGCTACACAGCATTAGCTTGAAGCTTAAGCCTCATCCTGACAGTTTTCTTTCCAAAAATTCACATAGACCTTGTATGGTGGCACCCATCAGTCCATCTCAGTGACTGACTCTACTAGATCACTTGGTCAGCTATTACCTCATCCACGCAACTCCCCACACCCTCGTCCTCCCCAGCTTTGCAGACATATATGATACCGTCACAAAAAAAAAGCAGATGATTTCTAAGCAAATGAAACTGTAGTTTGCTACATGTAGGAGTAACTGAGTTCAACAGATGCATTTAACATTATCTTCAGACATACTCAAAGCACAAATCACATTGTTCATTTGAGGTGACAATGCCATACCTTATCACATCTGGTTCTGTACCTTCATTCTTATAGGATGCCTGAAGTTGTTTCTGTCTTGTGAGAAGGTCATCCACCAAATTCTGCCTCCTGTCTCCCTCCAGCTGTGTGCTGATGATACTTGGTTAAGGATCAAACTTAAAAACACTGAAAAACTTTAATTTTATTATGTAAAATAATACCTGTTATACATTCTTAAAATAAATCAGACCTCCTGATCATCAAAATTAACTAGAGTAACTATTTTAACTCAAGAAAAGGCTGTAACATCTAAGAGAAGGATAGATAGGTCACATTTTTCTGAATGAAGTCTGCTGTTATTCTAACTGCGTTTCTGAAGTTTACGTATCTCAAAGAAAAAGTTTCATACAGTGACCACAGAGTGATCTTCAGGTCATCAACTCAAAGTAATAAGAGAACTGGAAGGCTATTTACTGCCAAATTAACATAAGTATTAAGAATAGCATTTCCCCCTCCAAAATCCAACATAATTCTGCTTCCATTTATTACTAAGAAGTCCTATGCAGCTGATCTCTTCTGTAACATTGACAACGTATAACAAGTGCTGCATTAAGATCAGGGAAGGATGAGTCTTCTTAAAAGAACTCCAACTTAAACTGCTATGATCTAAATGGGGCAGGCCCAAACAGACTAGAGCTTTTACAGTCAGCAGGGTACTTCACATCTGAGTTCACTGGAGGCTCATAATGCAGACCAGGTGCATAGCTCCCAGACAAGTGGTCAGCAAACAACCAAAAACTTACTTTCAGCATCTGTTGCCATTTGCAATTCATTAGCAGAACACCCCAATAGCCACTGATGCAGCAGAAAAACCAATTCATGTGGTGTCTCTGAAAGACAAGATGCCCTGAAGTGCTGCAGCTTTGACAGGGGACATGTGTTTGCTTTTTTTAATTAATCTTAGTGACATTTTGAAGGACTACTAACTCCCTTCCAGCTACTGTTCAATAGATTATGCAATAGCTGATCTGATTTGCGTATGTTTTCTGCCACTGGACAGGAAAGTTTTACTCCTGGCCATCAGCACAGCACTCAGGTGGCCTGAGCTTAGAAGGGATTTCTGCTATAGTTAGCTTGAAGTTAAACATTCATTCATTAAATCAGATTGCTGCTGGATATATTCAGGGAGATGGACATACTTTGCCTCATTAAGCCTGACCATCGCAGCATATGGAAAGAGCAGCAAATCCAAGCCAGGCCACAGGGTAACAATCCTAGAAAAACACGTGCAATTTCTTTCGAAGGCATATATTAAAGCATTCTGACATCATTCCGAAGATGCAGTTCCATTGCTCCTTACGTCAGTCCAAGCCAGGGCTGCCACATCCCTGAACAAGGCTTCACCCTTGCTTTCTGCAAGCACTGGCACTCCTGCAGCCAGCGGCTGAGCGAGGGGAAAAGAACGGATTAGCAAGTTCTCTGCTAGACGAGTGATCTTAGCCCACAAACCAGCCACTCAATCAACAGCATCGGCACAGCGCACAGGCAAGATGGTGGCAGCTCTGGGATTATTCAGACCATCTTGTTAAGCTTCTCTCTGACACAAACGTAACCAAAGCCAGCCTCATGCCCACCGTACCAGAGATGCCCAGGCTCCCAACTCCTCCTGCACTACAGCTGCCATGAAAACATTAAACAGCAGCACGGACAAAGTTCTAGCAACAAAGTCTTCTAAAAATGGAGTGAGGGAAAAACCCCAACTGCGTGGCAGAGCAATTATAGCATACTTTTCCACTCTCTCCTGCAAAACAGAAAGGTCAGCGAGTTGATGTTTACACAGATACATTTGGTGTGTTGATACAGCCCGAAGCAGTAAGTCCTTCAGCTGATCGATCTTCTCTCTGAGATTCTGCAGTGATGATCTGATAATCACGTTGAGCTGAAAGAGAAGAAACATTTTTTTTATATATGTGCATAAAATTTAATACTACTACATACAGATGATGTATATATTTTAAATATAAATATATTTAACTTGAGCTATACTGGTGTGAAGGACTCTGTTCTAAATGAAGAAAGCCTGCCTGAGAGCCACAAAGGGAGCGAGACAGTTAACTGGTTTGGACTGCTTACAAAATAACGAGATAAATAGTACTAGTTTTGCAAACACAATTGTAATGCATTAACGCTGTTTAATATGGAGAGCTTTCTTTCAAGTTTTTATAAACACGCTCCTTTATATGGGCAAAACATCTCAGCACATTTTAATATTTTCCAGTTAGCTTTCCAGTTCTTTCCTCTGATCTTTAACACAAATACAGGCGCCAGCTGCTTCTGCCACCAGGTTTCTTTCCCAGCTCCCAGGGTTAGAGGGAAAGTTGCTACAGGTTCAGACATTCCCTCTGCTGCACTCCCACAGACGTTAAAGATCCCAAAGAAATGCAGATTTCCTCCATTTCCCTTCTCAGCAGCACCTATGACTCCCCACCCTTTCTCACAAGTGACCTGCCCAAGATTCAGATGCATCTGTTCTTACTAAAAATGCAGTTAAGTCGTTCACATTCTCCCCTGCTGCAAACATATGCTCCCCTTCCCAAGTTAGGCTGACATTATCCTCTGGGTTTTTCCTCCTTAAATGTTACTTCTTTTCATTCCAGTTATGTAGAACATACTAGGAAAAAACATTGTAACTGCAATTAACTATGCAAGTCATCCTAATCAAGACTTTATGTGCTTCTTGTTTACAAGACATTAGCCCCGCTGCAGGTTATAACAGTTAGCAACCTCAGATGCTCTGTGTGATGAGCTAGTAACAGAGCCAGAGTATTTGACTGTCATTCCCTGCGTTCTTAAGAGACACAGAGGCAGCAGCCAGACATCAAAGTCTCACTGAACAGTCACCATGACCCAAGGATCCTGCCCAAAGCTAAACTGCACTTGGTATCTGCACACAGATGGAGCTGGAGTTCCCAAAAAATCACTTGATAGCATCAGAAGTTTAAATATCTCTGACTCAGTGAGTTTTGTTCTCAAACACTACTAAATACAACAGAAAGCAGATGCAGCCACGCTGAGGCAGTCTTGGAGCATGCAGCGAAAGCGGAGAGCTGCAAAATCTACCTTCAGACCCAAAGCTGCTGAACACGAAGGTAAAGTTTCCAAAGCCAGGATGGGATATAAATATGTCTAGGAAAGCTCAGCCTGCTGCACACCCTCTAGCTCTGCAATTAGGTAATAAAAGGTCTTTTCATTTCACATGTACGTTTCCGGTACTCGTGTCCAGGTGGACAACGCTGCATTTAATCAGCCCAGACCAGCAAAGCAGCATAAAGGTATACATGTCCAGGAAAGTCATACAGGCTCCCTCTGCTACTCTGGCCAGAAATTGCAGTGCTGTAACAAAAGATTTCACTTCCATTAAAGAAGAAAGGAAACCAATGGCAGTTTTAAGATCAGCTCAATAGAGCAGAGGTCACAGATGGTAAGTGCAGGC